CGAGCTTACGAGGCTGAGCTGGATCGGTGGGGACGGTTGCCTTCTTCGATGAGGAGCGGGAAACCGCCTCAAAGGCAGCCTCGTGGGCCTTACATTTTGGCGACCATGAGCGGGAAAGGGTTGGACGGTAAGGAGGATGTGGCTGAGCTGTATGTTTTGAACGTTGTCGAGTCGATCCGGTCGGCCGAGCTGGAGCAGGGTCTGATGGTGCTGGCGTTTGAGAGGATTCTGAAGCTTTTGGAGATTATTGCTGTTTGGACCAAGAAGGTAATGTGTTCTTTTCAGTGTTTGCTTTTTGTGTTGAGTTTGGATCTCGGCTGCTGCCGTGGATGTCACGGGATGTGACGGTTGATGGGTGATGCTTGGGTTGGTCAACCTTGTCAGCTTTCTGCGGGGGGGGGGGGGAAAGCCTCTCTCTAATCCTATCAGTTTCAGTTTTCACTAACCTTTTAACCACAACGAAAACAGGAATGGAACCCAACGCTGACATCTCGACTCTTGCAGTCGATCCTGAACTCTCACCATGCGCAGCTGTGCACTACGCGTTCGGTTCGGTTGATCCTTGCCGAGATCCGTCGGGATCTGAGACGAACGCTCAAGGAGCAGAGGGAGAGGATGGGATTCAACCTTGCAGGGTTGGAGTACCTGAGGGCTCAATGGGAGGCTGAGCATGTTGGAGCTGTTGCATTGGCGGGAGGAGATGTTGAGGATGAAGAGAAGAAGGATGGGAAGAGCAAGAAGAGAAAGAGCAGGGTTGTTGTGAAGAGCGGTTGATTATGTCAATATTTATTTTATTCTTTTTTGTTCTTTCTGGTGAATCCTTATTGAAGGTGTTTAAGCTTTCAATAAAAATTCTTTTATTGCATAACTTATATACATAACAACCATTCAAAGTGAGAATTATCGCGGCAGTTCCACTACCAAGTTTCTCTTCGCTGCTGGAGATGCTTCGTTTTTTTCTTCAACAAAAATTGGGGGAGGAGCAAAGACTTGTCAGGCAAATTTTATTATGTTTTATTCGTCGATCCCTCTCTTTTTGGGGGAGAGCCCCCAAGCAACCAACCATACCAATACAGGAACGGAGAAAAAGAAAAAAAGAAAAAGAAAAAAAAAAAAAAAAGTTATTCTTTTCCTCTCCCATCCAACCTCTTAACTCTACTCCCCACACACATCAACAATGGTCGTCAAGTACAAGGTCGCTGACATTACCCTCGCTGACTTTGGTTCGTTGGTCTTCATCCCCTTTTTTGTTTGCATGCAATGCAATGCAATGCAATGCATGCGCTCCATGCGGGCCTTGGTCGACACGCTCGAGAAAACGATCGATCTCGCATCGGAATCGGCGTCCAGCGAGTGTCATGGAACACCTTTTTTGCTCCCTGATACCTTTACCCCCCTCCCTCTTGCTTGCGGATGATCATGATGCATTTGTTTTTCGCCATTCTCATCTCGACTGATTTGACATGATGCGTGTGTGTGGACCCTGAATGCTAACCTTCCCATCTCCCTTTTTTTATCCTCGCAGGTCGCAAGGAGATTGAGATTGCCGAGAATGAGATGCCCGGACTCATGCAGCTCCGTGAAAAGTACGGCCCCACCAAGCCCCTTGCTGGTGCCAGGATCGCTGGATGCCTCCACATGACCATTCAGACTGCCGTCCTCATCGAGACCCTCGTCGCCCTCGGTGCCGATGTCACCTGGTCTTCTTGCAACATCTTCTCCACCCAGGTTGGTAGTTTCCCTTTGATCGTCCTCGATAATCGGACAAACCGTTAGCAAAAACCAAAAAACCCTAACCAAAGAGAACCCCTGCCATTAAAATCCGCCAAAAAAACAATATAGGACCATGCTGCTGCTGCTATTGCCGCTACCGGTATCCCCGTCTTTGCCTGGAAGGGTGAGACCGACGAGGAGTACGACTGGTGCATTGAGCAGACCCTCCACGCCTTCAAGGATGGCCAGCCCCTCAACATGATCCTCGACGACGGAGGTGACCTTACCAACCTTGTCCACCAAAAATACCCCCAGCTCCTCGCCGGCATCAAGGGTGTCTCTGAGGAAACCACCACTGGTGTCCACAACCTCTACAAGATGCTCCAAAAGGGCGAGCTCAAGATCCCCGCCATCAACGTCAACGACTCTGTCACCAAGTCCAAGTTTGACAACTTGTACGGATGCCGTGAGTCCCTCATTGACGGTATCAAGAGGGCCACCGATGTCATGATTGCCGGAAAGGTTTCCGTCGTTGCCGGTTTCGGTGATGTCGGCAAGGGTTGCGCTGCCGCCCTCAAGGGTATGGGATCCCGTGTCCTTGTCACCGAGATTGACCCCATCAACGCCCTCCAGGCTGCCATGGAAGGTTTGTTTTTTTTTTTTTTTTTTTCCCCTTTTTTTTTGTGTTGGGGTCGCGGTTTCCACTTTTTCGAACTCTCCGCTAAATATTTTTCTCCCCCAACAACAGGTTACGAGGTCACCACCATGGAGGAGGCTGTCCACGAGGCCAACATCTTTGTCACCACCACCGGATGCCGCGACATTATCACTGGGGCCCACTTCCCCCTCATGAAGGACGACGCCATCGTCTGCAACATTGGTCACTTTGACATTGAGGTGGACGTGGCCTGGTTGAAGGCCAACGCCACCAAGAAGGTCAACATCAAGCCTCAGGTCGACCGCTTCACCATGCCCTCTGGGCGCCACATCATCCTCCTCGCCGAAGGTCGTCTCGTCAACCTCGGATGCGCCACCGGTCACCCCTCCTTTGTCATGTCCAACTCCTTCTCCAACCAGGTCCTCGCCCAGATTGCCCTCTGGACCGACACAAAGTCCTACCCCCTCGGCGTCCACCTCCTGCCCAAGAAGCTCGACGAGGAGGTTGCCGCCGCCCACCTTGCCAAGATTGGCGTCAAGCTTTCCAAGCTCTCCACCGTCCAGTCCGACTACCTCGGCCTTCCCGTCGCCGGACCTTTCAAACCCGAGAATTACCGAGTAAATTATCTTTATTTTTTTTTGATTCTAACTTTTTCATCAGTACTAGGCGCCAGCGCGATCAATGTTCCGTTGAGAATTTATTCGTTCGCTTACTGTGAGTTTTGAGACGTCGCGGAGCGTTGTTGTCGGGATGACTAGCGTCCATTGTTCTTATCTCTTTTGTTTAAATGTTAGCCCCCATTGGGCTATTTGTTGTGAAATAAAAATCAGTTCACCTCTTGACGTGATGTTCTTTTCCTGCCGGCTGAATTTCCCATCTCGACACGTTGCTCTTGTTTGGTTCCTTGTTCCGTAAAACTGAATATGATCAATGGTACCCTCAAGCTAATGAATACTTTATATTTGTGGACAAGCGGACAAGAAAACCAACATTGAGAAAGCAGAAAAGGTCTGCAACGAGAAAAACCCTCTGGCAGGAGGAAACACATGACCAAAATAATGTGGATCAAAGAAAAGGAAAACGAGCAAAGTACTAACGCAACTCAATTGAAAACAAAATCAAACAGGAAGAAAAGATGAAACAAAAAAGAAAGAAAGTCCCTCGTCGTTTGGGTAAGAGAGAAACTCAAAACGCAAAGTATCAACTAAAGACAATCAAAAGCACTAGGTAGGAAAGAAATAACAGCAGAACGAAACCAAAGGTACAAACGGGCATTCAACAAAGAGTCCAGAATTGTGTAATTGGCTTCAGGACAATAAGCAGCTCTCTCGCGCTCCCATTTGGTCCACAGGTGGCGGGGCAAGAATTGTGGTGCGATGAGGTTGCAGCCATCGATGTGACTGCGGGTCATCGGAAAGACTTGACATCTAGGGCAAAAAAAAAGTAGGGCGTTTCGCCGCCAGCGGAGTGCTACCAGTCGGAGAGCAGGGTCAGGGATCAGGAAACACCAATCCACATCCGAAGGTCCCTTCAGGGCCGTGGTGTGGATGTAGCTGCAGAGGATGGAGGAGCCATAGGCCTCGGCACCAAACATTTGTCGGCAACGACGTTCCCCAAACTCTTCTCGCATGCAGCCATGCTCCGGCTGAAGGTGGTGGCCTGTCTGTTGGAATCACCGCAGCTGCCGGTGGATGTAGCAATAGCTCAAACTTTCTCATGAGATGCCGAAGTAGAAGTGAATCAGTATCCCAGAGGAAGCTGTTAGGATGGAGCTGAAAACGCCGAGCTGTTGATGTAGAATGGTTCTTGTCGGGCAATCATCCAATGGCTCGGCACGCTGAAGCTCAAGGGCAAACCGAAATCGGAGGATAAGGTCTTTGCCCGTCAAGCCTCTCAAAATCGGTGGTGCGCGAGCCTGGGATGGAGTTGCGATACACATCCACTTCATTGCGCGGTCCAGACGGTTTAGATCTTGCAACGGTTTCAAAAGGGGGAGGCGAGTGTTGAGATGAGTGCTAGCTATAGTCCATGCCCAAATGAAAGGTAGGAAGTAATCAAGCATGGGCAAAACAAAAATACGAAGCAATGCAGAACGATGGGGTGGGCTCCAACCGTAAGAATAGGCCTGAAGTGAGTTAATCCTCCTTCCAAAACGACAGTCAGATAGCGAGAGAGATGTGAAGGCAAAGAACAGAGAGTTCAAACTGTGTAATTGCCTTCTGGACAAGAAGCAGCTCTCTCCCGCTCCCATTTGCTTCACAGATGTACATATCGGGGCAGGAATTGCAAGAGGTTGCAGCCAAGGACATATACTGAAAAATAGGGCGCTTCGGCACCAGCAGAGTGCTACCACATTCAACTATCGACACGAAGTTTTCACGACAGGGACGACCAGCGTTTTCACCAGAATATTTGGAATTGGATTTTACGGCAAGTATATTTACGGTGTAAACGCGGACAATCTTTTCGCCTGTCTTTCGAGCTTCACCATGAGCGAGGACAGTTTTTTTCGCCGGGCGAACCTCCAGCCTTTGAATTGAAAAAAGAAAGGAAATTCATTTTTGGACATTTTTTTATCGTGATATAAAATACTCAATAAAGGAACCCTAACCACAAAAAATTTCTCCCTTTCCGTTACCGGGAATTGAACCCGGGCCACCACGGTGAGAGCGTGGGATCATAACCACTAGACTATAACGGATTTAAACCACCTAGTAGAGTGGTACCATGAGCAGAGTGGGATTCGAACCCACGCCTACGAATAGATCACGGCCTTAACGTGACGCCTTAGACCAACTCGGCCATCTGCCCAATTCATTAAAACAAATTCCGGGACTAGTGCTATATTTTGGAATTACTAGATTCTGGGTGAAAAACGAAGTTTCTGCACATTTGTCAGGTTTTATCAACAGGAAAACATGAGGAATGGATGCATGGCAACGTAGTTCAACCAATTTTTATCAGATTGGGGCTGGTAAGCCATGACAGCGCCAAAATCAGTGAAAAATGAATCTAACAAATGCTACTTCTGTCAGGATTCTGTAGAATCGGCCAAAAGTTCAAAACCCTTCCCCTTCGCTCATGATTATCGCGTGTTGTATATTGGAGACACAAAATTTTTTGAGATCTTCAACATCAGCTGCAGTTTAATATGTAAGCTCAGCACAACCGAAGATAATGGGAAACACGAATGTCCTTGAAGGTGTCGACAAATTCCTTTGCCTGCAAGGAAACATCTATCCCAGCCGATAATGCCAGTCCTTCCAAGAGATCCCGTTGGAACTTTGCAGCCGAAGACCTCTGAGTAATTTCGTCAAGGATTGTTAGGCAAATGGCGAGATTCTTGAGGGATTCTTGCTGAGCGTGCACAAGCTTGTCTTCAAATGACATGTTGCATGTTGCAGAAGAGCTTTTAAAGAGCTCGCCCAAAATGACATGAATGACACCGCTCTGGGCAACTTGAGCAGCAATTTCGGCAGAAAAAGGCACAGAAGCGCCGAGGACGCGTGACATGAACAGAAAGTGAAGACCAGCTTCCAACACTGTTCGTATCTCTGGTCCACCGGCAAACATAAATACTGGCCTTGCAGATCCCTGTGGAAAGGGAGAAGGCGGTGGAACCTCTATCCGCTTAAGCATGAACCACAGTATTCCAGCGGCTCCTATGATGCATCTTTGAAGCGATTCTTTTCCTGCATCTGACCATGCTTTCGTAAATTCGTCCTTTCTTGGGCCACCTGCTTTCACGGCCCTTCCTAGCTCACGGATGAGGCGAGGTCGGTGAAGACTCAGACGAAGCGCGTTGGACATGACATGGGCTTTGATTCCGTGATATGAAGGCAGACCATCTTTCGGGACAAGCGGAGCCGAAAATTTAACGGCTGCCGCAATCAACGACTCCTTATTGTTGCTTGGAAATGATTCAATCCATTTGGAAAGAGATGAATCAAGATATGCAAACATGGCATCGGCAGGCATATCAAGGCCGTTTCCCAATGTTACGTCTTCGATTCCGACGTCCCTGAGAGATACCGAAAGCGGTCCGTCAGCTTTCAGATAGCTGATGCCTGTCGCCAGATTGAATTCGGTTATACGGCCAATGAGTATACCCAGTTGGGAAACCATCATGCTTGGGTATGTATCAGCCGGTCCGAGTGATACTGTCGGCTCTCCCGTTTGAGGGTCCACAGACACCCAAAGAGCATGTGGTGCCATGGGCTTCACAGATAGCTTTTGCTTCCATACACCAAAGCTATTTTCTCGGAAAGCCATGTCGTAAGAATCTACCAACCTACTGCAGCAGAAGGTTAAATTCATAAAATCTGCTGAAGAATATCCTACACTGCGTAAAAGACACGTCTTCGGGTCTCTTTTTCCAGCCATGTCCATTTTGGTTTCAATGGCTCGCTCAATTCAAGCTCGTCGGGGTCCACATAAAGCTTCAAAAGTTGCATCTATGAATCAAGCGTTAGTACCTTTCTCATGTTCTCAAAAATCTGGGTACCATTCGCATGGCCATCCCTGCCAGAAGCCAGCTTTGGCTAGACCTGTGCATACACAGCTGAGCACAAGCCCAGCACAAGATAATCAACGATTGGCAAGTTTCGACTGACGGTTGGTCCATATCCAGAGATCTCAAAGCTGCATAGAAAAACATTTCTGCCTTGCTTCCGGGCATCATAGCTTCAGTATCCACCACAGGCCAGTAGCTTCCATCCGGGCTTTTGGCATAAACTTCAGATAGGCAACATAATGTGAGTGTCAATGTCTTGCTAGGTTTCTCCTTCAATTCCCGCAACCTCCACAGTGTAACATCTCCATGGATCAATTGAATGGGGACACGGTAAAGGCCCTCAAAAGCAATCTACCTTCATTAGGTTTGAAAATATTGGAGTTGCTTACCGCAAACCTCTCCTCAATTTCACAGTCAGACAGCGAAAAATCATTGATGTGAACAACATCGGCATCGACACCATCAGGAATGGAATCGACAGTGAATCCCGACGAGAATGCATCTTCCAGAGTATCAAGCCACGATTCTCTATTGTCTGCGTCCAGCATATCAAAACTCGGCGCCGTGGGTGTCGTCTCTGTTTGTGGGCAGGTTGACAGTGTACTTCCAGGAGATGGTGAATCTCCTGAAATATCTGACCAGTCGAATCTGGCGCGGTTCTGATATTGCTCGGGAAAGGCTTTGTCCAGAACATCGATAAAGTCAAATACATCACATCTAAAGACACTGGAAGATGTTGTTCTTGGAGCAATTTGATCTAAGTTGAGCGAGTTGCCTAAAACAGATGCAGGGGCGCTAGCAGATCCATTCAATACAGAAGTGGAACCTACAACCCCATTGCCGTCTGGAGAGAGCTCACTCAAAATGTACTTGAGACTATTTCACGCAGTGGCCGAGTTAGATGGGTTTGATGATGTTGGAAGGCTTACACGCCCTCAAGACCTTGAACTCGTTGCTCGATGGTCTGATTCATGGTCTGAACCAGCACATCTTGAGCATCTTTGTTGGGTCGACGCAGCAATGTTGGTGAAATGAAACGGCGTATGTATGTGCATTCACTCTTTGTGTTCTGACAGACTCCACAGACTGGCACTCCCCCATCACATTTCTTCTTCATCCGATAGCATCGATCACTGAAATATGTAAGATTGGATTGAACCACATCTTGTCGACTCACCAAGCTGTTGCTTTCTGGACCTGAGTTCTTTTGAGTGGTCTTTTGGAGGAGGAACCATTGGTTTGGTTATTCATTTTTTCTTAATTCGTTTTTGCTTTTCTGTCCAAACAGACACTGCCTTTTATTGCAAATGCTAACACACGACGTTCGAATGATCCTCGAGGGATTCAATCTTCCGGATATCCAGAATGCTGTCTTCAAACTCTTTGACTTGGGCGGAAACGTCAATACCAGCCTCCTGAGTCATTCTGTCTAGCATGCTATGCATGAATGTGACCGATGATTTTCTCCTTGATATATCACTCAAAATGGCCAAGCACACGGCCAGTCCCTCCAACGCTTCCTCACGAGCTTCTTCAGCCTTGGCCAACAGGATGCCAGCATCGTATGTGGCTACGCCAGCGAATTCACCAAGAACCATGGCCATCATGGCGAAATTTGGCTGTCCACCGATGATATCAAGATCCGCGTTGCTGCAATTCGATTTCCCCAAAAACAAAACCCTTGCCATGAAAAAGAAATGGACTCCGGCCTCGAGAATAGCACGTGCTTCTGGCGCACCAACAAAGATAAATACTGGCCGCGGTGGACCTTGAGGCAAAGGCGACGGTGGCAGAATTTGGATTCTTCGAATGAGAACACGAATGATTCCCGAAGCGGCGTCCATGCACCTTCGCAAGGATTGTCGGCCTATTTGGCCCCAGGCAACTGTGGCTGCTGCTGGATCGCCAGATCTCATCAGTTTGACCAGTTCCCGAATCAGACGTGGCCTATGCAGGGCAAGCTGCATAGCAAAATAGTACATATGCATCTTGAGGGCATAGTACGGTGGAAGACCTTTGTTCAGCGGCGGTACAGGGGTTGAAAATTGCACCGCAGTAGCAAGGGAGCCTGGATGTAGGCCCGGCGGAAACTCATCGAGCCATCTAACGATATCCTTATCCAGCATCAAGAACCTATCATCATCGTCGACCACTGGGGCCTTGTATGAATGGCCCAATGCCTTCAAAACGTCAGATCTTAGTTCGGCCTGAACCCCTAGCGGTCCATCTTGCTTAACGTAGCTCGTTCCGTGGAGCAAATTGTACTCAGTGACCTCGCAACCGATGATACCGAGCTTGAACATCAGAAGCGATGAGTCGTCCTCGAGCGGCTTACATTCCATCGTGGGCTCTTCGGTTGTCAAGTTTACAGTCAGATATGCCATAAAGGAGGACGGCTTCTTCACTTGCATTGGTTTTTTCCATAAACCGGAGCTTGTTTCACGTATAACCATGTCCAAATGGTCCAATGAAACACTTCAGTGATTTAGTAAGTAAAAGCAGCCGATGGAAATGAACAAACATTGTGTAGAACACACGCCTCCTGGTTTCTTTTTCAAGCCAAGTCCACCTCTTCCCGGACCGGTCCAATTGCTCAAGATTATCAGGATCAATATCCAATTTAAGCAATGCAATCTTAAGCGATGATGAGTCCGATGTATGATACGATGTTGCTCTTACCATTCTTTGCGCCATTCCCGAAAGAATCCACGCCTGGGTGGTTCGAGACAAACATAGTTGGCTGCAATACCAGGTAAGACAGATTAACGCTTGACATGTCTCAATCGAAGGTTGTTCCAAGTCGAGCGAAGCAATCGCAGCCATAAAGAACTTCTCTGATTTCTCTTTGAACATTTCAGCCTTTGCGTCGGCTGACGGCCAGTAGCTCCCATCAGTACTCTGTGTATAGCTTGAAGCCAACGCGCAAAGAGTCATGACCAGAGTCCGGCTCGGTCTATCCCTCTTTTCACGCCATTTTTTCAAAGTATACCCTTCGTGAATGAAATGAATTGGTAGCCTTGTCAATCCTTCGAAAGCAATCTGAAGAACTAATTAGCATAAAGGCTGTTTGTTGGCATCCTCTACCATCAAAAGCTTATCAGTCTCTTCTTCTGAAACCAAGATTTCATTGAGAAGTAAAGACTGGAGGTCATCTTCGGGATTTGATTCCTGTGTATCAATTCCCATTC